TTTAAGAAATATGTCATGATTTGCCTGACAGCCCAATTTGTAATCACCATAGGCTGCCACATTCTCTATTCTTTCTGATGCACAGCTGGGCCCTGAGGAAAATGCAGGTTCACTTCCAGGCTTAGTATTTAGTAGTGCCTGGTACTTGGTGTGCACTTGTGTTAAGGATTGTATGTATTGTGGCTTAAGATGACATGTTGTCTGTCAGCCCCAGGCCATATCCACCCTAAGCACAAACCAGACACTTTCTAATGTGACAGAGCTTCAGAATCACCTGGAGTGGCTAAGTCACCTAAGGACTCCCAAGCCCACCTAACCCTTTAAAATCAGAATCTGCCGGAATAGGGCAGGAAATCTGTACCTTTCACTAGCTTCCCAGGTTACTCAGGTATAGTTTAACATGGAACCAGTTGATACCAGATTAAAAAATATGTCTAAATCTATATTGATCAACATGAGAGCCAGTAGATAACATGTAGATAATGAATTTTAAATTAATTAAAGTGAAGTAAAATTTAAAATTCAGTTCCTCGGTTGTAGTAGCCCTGTTTTAAGTGATCAATGTGGATGGTAGCTGTCCTATTAGACAGCTCAGATATCGAACGTTTCCATCATTGCAGAAAGTTCCACTGGACGGCATTGCTCTCCAGGGTAAACCAGCCCTCTTATACCATACATAGCACATGTGCCAATTAAGACCCCAAAATGGTTTTGAGCAACCCACGGAAAAGACTGCTCTCAATTTAAGGGGCTTTAAGTGTGTTTTAATTTTTATTACTCAGAAGAACCTTTTGTTTTTTCACATTTATAGAAAAGAAACATACTCCAAGAAACCCATGGTCTAGCAATTTATTTAAATGGTCTACATAACTATATTAAATAATCAAGAAGGAATTTTTTAAAAACTCCAAATGGGAGACTGGGCAAAATGGTGTAGATGATAGAAGCTTCACTCATTCCCTCTTGCGACCACATAAAGTTGAGACGGAAACATGAAGCAAACAGCAAGTAGAGTCACCTGGGGTCTAGATGAACAGAAGCCCTACAGCTAGGGAGAGAAAAGAAATCACCCTGCAGTGGGAGGAGGTAGGAGGGGGCGAAGACAGGATGCTGCCCAGTCCGAGTGGCTGAGTGGGACAGAGGCTACGGCAGTGGCAGCTGGCAGGTGTAGACATTCCTCTTAAAGGGGCCAGTGTCTACAACCAGATTTTTGCAGTGACAGACCTGCTCTCTCTGGTCCAGCTCAGGGGCATGAGAGCCTTACAGGAGGACACTGAGTTGTCTGAGCGAGGGCCAGAGGCAAGGCTCTCTCCTGGATGGAAGTGTCAGCAGTATCTATTGTCTTTCTGTTGAGTTCCCCGCACTCCCAGTGTGCAGCCACAGTGCCACCATAGCTGAAATGTCATCAAACTGGATAACAGAGGCCACTCCGCTGAGAGAGTTCCCTGAAACTCAGCCTCTCCCAACTTGTGACCCTACCCAAGCCACATCCAGTTATGTCCTTGGTGAGTCATGTGCTCCTTGCAGAGAAGCTCCAAGACACACTAGTGGCAGCTGGCCTTGGTTTCTGGCATGGCCTTTTGAGGCAGCTATAAGCACAGCATCTGTGGATTGTTTGCTGAATCTTAACAGGTGGCCCTGGAGGGGCATGGGCTGGGCCTGAACTTGACTTGCAGCTGAACTCCTCTTAGGACTACGCTACTGGACATCTACTACACAAAGCCATGCTAATATCGGAAGACTTAGGAGCTTTGATTGGTATAGAAACAGACACAGAAATGCAGCCAAAATGGGAAGACAAAGAAGCAGAAACCATATAAGAGAACAGAACAGAGATCCAGGAATAATAGAGTCAAGCAATCTAACAGATGCAGAGTTCAAAACACTGGTTATAAAGGTGCTCAATGAAATTAAAGGAAGTGTAGATGAACTCAGTGGAAACTTTAACAAAGAAATAAAAACACATAAAAATGGAAATGGAATTTATAAAAGGGAACCAGTCATAAATGAAGAATACATTATCTGAGATGTATATTAGAGGGAATCAACAAAATGAAAAAGAGGATCAAAACACCGATATAGAGGATGAGGAAGTCAAGGTCACCCAATCAGAACAGCAAGAAAAAAGTAATTAATAATTTAAGGAGCCTCTGGAACAAAATTAAGTGTAAC